AATTAATTGCAAGAAAAATTTCCTATAAAGGAAATCAGCCCGAATAAATATTGCTCTGTATCGAACCAATAAGCACCCGCACATACACACACATACACACATACACACACACATACATACATACATACATACATACATACATACATACATACATACATACACACACATACATACATACATACATACATACATACATACATACATACATACATACATACATACATACATACATACACACACACACACATACATACATACACACACACATACAAACAAACAAACAGGTGATGGTTTTATAAATTTCAACGAATTTGTGGACGTCATGTTGGCCAATATTGGTGTCGATGAAACTGAACTCATCAGACAGGCTTTCCAGGTTTTGATTACAATTAAGAAATAATAATTTAATTATAATTATAATATTTATTATTATCATACTACTACTATAACTGCTACTAATTCTAATTGTTCTATACGACTACTACTACTACTAGATGACGACCTACTACTACTACTTCTTCTTCTTCTTCTTCTTCTACTACTACTACTACTGCTACTACTACTACAACAACTACTACTACTACTACTACTACTACTACTACTACTACTACTACTATACTACTACCGCTACTGTTACTGCTACTACTACTACTTCTCCTACTACTACTACTAATAATAATAATTATAATGTGAATAAAAAGTAATAATAATTTTCCCACCAAATTCTGAATTTCGCACATTCCCAAAGGTGATTGACGTGGACAAATCCGGCAAAATATCGGCTAAAGAGTTGAAGAATGTCCTAAAAAATTTGGGCGATATTATATCGGACCAGGAAACAGATGAACTGATTAGGGAAATTGATCTGAATGGAGACGGTGAAGTTGATTACGAAGGTGAGAAAGTATTTATTTTATTTTTTTATTCTTTGTTTGGCCGATTTCTAACCGACAAAAAGCTCATTACGATTCTTTCCTTCTTGCAATTGAACTTTTATGCAACAAAGGAAGTACATACAGACATTTTATGTATTACAATGCCAGCATCTCATCGTATGATAATCTTTTTCTTTTGGAAAGACGGCATTCGAACAAGGTAACCGTGCAATAACCACTCGAAATATGACAGATCTGAGCTATCCCACAACCGTTTCATTGTATCATTTCGCATTTTATTTCAAAAAATTGAAATTTTTGATTGCAGAATTTATAAAAATCATGAAGAGAAGTTGAGTCACTCCATTGTGTCCTATCATATTCCATCAATCATTGACATGTGGTTGACAAAACAGATGTAATTGTCAAGAAATATTGATATTTTAACGATATTTTTTATTTTAACAACATTTTATGAATTTTTCTTTCTTGTGCTATTGATGTTATATTATTTAGATTGATAACTAAAATATACATATTTTTATTTTTGTCACAATTTTTTAATTAAATTAATTGATATTAGTATAAATTTAAATGAATTTACTCATTTTTCCCATATAGATTTACATGTTAAGATAATATAAGATTATTTCATCTATGAAGGTTTTATAGATATTAATTACATTTTATTAACCATATTTCATATTTTATTAGATGATATATTATCTGGTATTGTGGTAAATAGCCATTTATTCCATTTTTGAATAATATTTTAACCATAAAAGGCAATTTATTCTTTTAAACTTGATCAGAAATGCCAAAAAAAATGATCTGAATTCAATAATAACTAAGATCGTATCGATGAGTAAAAGCATTAAAAAATCTATGCCAAAGTTCTTTAGCTTTCGATTTTTATCATTATTGTTAAGTCATTAACATCAAAAAATGTATTATTCTAATGAAATAATGCAAAAACCATCAAAAAGAGTAATATATGCCTAAAATGAACTTATTAAAACCAAGGCAAGCATTTTTTGATGGAAGCCATTTGAAATCATTTATTTCCTGTCTGATGCACTTAATCCAAACGTTTTGCATTTTTACATTTTGAGGAAATCTGAAATTTTATAAACTGTTACAGAAACTTACGCTTTTCTTAAGTATTGCTTTTAATAATAAAATGGTAATCCATGATAGCATTATAAATTATAATAGTCTATAAAATATATGTAATTGTAAAACAAAATAGTTCTATTCAATGAGTATAGGGATATTGTTACATTTATTTTAGTGTGAAGTTAATTTGAAAATAAACCTGTGAAAAGATGCATCAGAAATTTTCTCATTTCTATTTATTATTAATGCAATTTTTAATGCAACAGGTAGGCATGTTTGTGTATAGCTACGAAAATGAAAATTTACTTAAAAACTAAATTATTGTATCTGACACGAAATTTAGTACAGAAACAAAAACGAAAGAATAAATGACAATATAAAAATTTAAACATTGATTGAAAGAGTTTATTCTAATTATATGGTATGGGCAATTCTTTGCGAAATCGTTGGAGGAAATGGTGTCAACAGTAGTTATTTTACTGCATGGTAGTTAATCAGCCGGTATAAAGGTTATATTTAATTCCTATCAAATAAATTTGACAAAATATCATACACAGGCAGAACTAAATAAAGAAATAGATAGATATATACACGTAGTTATAATACATTTATAATGTTGTATTTAAACATTCAAATCGTACAATTGTGTTATGGTGTAGTCTCAAATTATTTTGAATTCTCTCAGAAAATTTTAAACGTTTTAGTACACTATATATACTAGTTATTTTTATCAACAATTTAAAAATTTCATCAATAATTAAAAAAAAATTCAAATTGATTTCATTGCGATATCGATAATGATTTTTGTAACCTGACTGATTAAAAAGCATCAACGAAAGTTAAAATAGGATGGAGAATTTGTTATATTGGGATATTCGTTTAAAAAGCGAGCAAAATTTTAATATAAAAGCGCTTATAAATCTATGCATATTGGCTCAGCTTGGCTTGGCTCGGCTTGGAATCGGATGTTAAGAAAGGTGCGGTCTTAAACTATTTTGAATTCTTCCCGAAAAATTTGAACTGCGTGCGTACATATATAGCAATGAATACTGTTGTTTTTATAATGAATTTATAAAATATATAAATATAGCGAGCAAAATTGTAACATAAAAGCGCTTATAAATTTATGCATATTGGCTCAGCTTGGCTTGGCTCGGCTTGGAATCGGATGTTAAGCAAGGTGTGGTCTCAAACTATTTTGAATTCTCCCCTAAAAATTTGAACTGCGTGCGTACATATATAGTAATGGCTACTGTTGTTTTTTATAATAAATTTATAAAATATATAAATATAGCGAGCAAAATATTAACATAAAAGCGCTTATAAATCTATGCATATTGGCTCAGCTTGGCTTGACTCGGCTTGGAATCGGATGTTAAGCAAGGTGTGGCCTCAAACTATTTTGAATTCTCCCAAAAAAATTTGAACTGCGTGCGTACATATATAGTAATGGCTACTGTTGTTTTTTATAATGAATTTATGCATATTGGCTCAGCTTGGCTTGGCTCGGCTTGGAATTGGACGTTAAGCAAGGTGTGGTCTCAAACTATTTTGAATTCTCCCCAAAAAATTTGAACTGCGTGCTTACATATATAGCACTGATTACTGTTGCTTTTATAATGAATTTTTATTATATATATATATATAAAGTGACTGGAATCCATGCATACAAATAATTAAATTATATTATATTAGATTATATGTTTATATGAAAAGCAATATAGCAGATTCAACCAGCCAACCAGAAAGTTTCGAAGGCATTCGTTCGATGACTTCAATTTAGTACGGTTAGCATTGTGGTTAAGACTGTATAATAGTGCAGTATATACATTAAACAAGTTTTTTACTGATGCGAATGATTGAAATGATGAGAATGTATGGTTGAAACGAGTATAAATAGAGGAGCTGAGACAACATGAAATCAGATCAGCCTTCTGCTTCGCTTGAAGCAGTCTGTCTGATCTCATTTATTTTATTTTAAAAATTTTTTTATTTTTATTTATTTTATTATATAGAGTTATATAGAGTTATATAGAGTTATATAGAGTTATATAGAGTTATATAGAGTTATATAGAGTTATATAGAGTTATATAGAGTTATATAGAGTTATATAGAGTTATATAGAGTTATATAGAGTTATATAGAGTTATATAGAGTTATATAGAGTTATATAGAGTTATATAGAGTTATATAGAGTTATATAGTGTTATTTAGAGTTATAAAGAGTTTGCATGTTTGTAGGTGGTTTGAATGTTTGTAGGTGGTATTTTTTTAATTTTAGGTGGGTTCTTTAACGGTTGCTCATACATACATACATACATACATCATGTTTGTTTGTGTGGTAGTATTTTATGTTCTGTTCTACTCCTTTTTCTCTTTCTTCATGAGTCTTGAGTTAAGTTAATGAAGCATAGGTAGGTGAGGTAAAAATTAATTTATTATATAGGTAGGCTAGGGCATAAGGTAATTTAGTTACATAGGTAGGTTAGGGACTCCTATTCTTTTACTCTACTTGGTGATGTGATTTTTGTTTTGTGTTTTTTTATGTTTTGTTTCACATCATACATTCAGCAGGTACGCGGTGGTTCCTGGTTTTAGTGGGATTTTTATTGATTGAATGTGGTAGTATGCATGGTTCTATAGAGTTATATAGAGTTATATAGAGTTATATAGAGTTATATAGAGTTATATAGAGTTATATAGAGTTATATAGAGTTATATAGAGTTATATAGAGTTATATAGAGTTATATAGAGTTATATAGAGTTATATAGAGTTATATAGAGTTATATAGAGTTATATAGAGTTATATAGAGTTATATAGAGTTATATAGAGTTATATAGAGTTATATAGAGTTATATAGAGTTATATAGAGTTATATAGAGTTATATAGAGTTATATAGAGTTATATAGAGTTATATAGAGTTATATAGAGTTATATAGAGTTATATAGAGTTATATAGAGTTATATAGAGTTATATAGAGTTATATAGAGTTATATAGAGTTA